CATCCAAGCAGCTTTGCGTGCTTTTGCCGCCATTCTTGAATCCGGGGCTGTTGTGACCTGGGGCAACCCACGATCTGGCGGAGACAGCAACCAAGTGCAAGATCAGCTGAGAAATGTCCAGCACGTCCAAGCAACTGTGGGTGCTTTTGCTGCCATTCTTGAATCCGGGGCTGTCGTGACGTGGGGCGATCCACCACGTGGCGGAGACAGCAGCCAGGTGCAAGATCAGCTGAGTAACGTCCAGCACGTCCAAGCAACTGTGGGTGCTTTTGCTGCCATTCTTGCATCCGGGGCTGTCGTGACCTGGGGCGATCCACGACGTGGCGGAGACAGCAGCCAGGTGCGAGAGCAGCTCAGGAACGTTCAACACATCCAAGCAACTCGACGTGGTGCTTTTGCTGCCATTCTTGAATCTGGGGCTGTTGTGACCTGGGGTGATCCAGAAAATGGCGGAGACAGCAGCCAAGTGCAAGAGCAGCTGAGGAACGTTCAGCACGTTCAAGCGACTCAGGGCGCTTTTGCTGCCATTCTTGAATCTGGGGCTGTTGTGACCTGGGGCCCCGCAGAATACGGCGGAGACAGCAGCCAAGAGCAAGATCAGCTGAGACATGTCCGGAGCATCCAAGCAACTGAGGGGGCATTTGCTGCGATTCTTGAATCTGGGGCTGTTGTCACCTGGGGCCCTGCACTCTTTGGCGGAGACAGCAGTCAAGTGCAAGAGCAGCTCAAAAACGTCCAGCACATCCAAGCAACTCATTGCGCTTTTGCTGCCATTCTTGAATCTGGGGCTGTTGTGACCTGGGGTGATCCAGAACATGGCGGAGACAGCAGCCAAGTGCAAGAGCAGCTGCGCCTGAGTTTGGGTCTGTACTGACATCAATAGCGCAAATTTGCGGCTGAGAGCTTTTTGAAACAAGGAGGCAACTGATGATCTCAAAATACGGCCCAGCTGAACCTGCCCTCTGCCCATTCTGCGAACCACCATCAGGGGCAAGTTTGGTTGATGCAAACCAACTCGTGGAATGTCGATTTGAGCCGCAAATCTAAGAGTAGAAGCTGATCCTCCTTGGTTTTTTCCGGTTGCCAACAAAACAAAAACAAAAGGGAGGGGAGGCAGTTTACCCGTGAGCATGTAAAAAGGGTATGCACAAGCATCCAAAGCAAAACCCGGCGAACGGCGGCTAACATAGAAGCTTCAGGACCCCTTCCATGCGCTGGAGGGTGCCAAGGTGAAAGGTCACAAGCCTATACCAAGTGCTAGTTGAGCCGATAGATCGAACCACCTGAATTGGGGGCAAGACAGTTTGCCCATGGAACTTCTATGGACGATGCGACTTCTTATTTACAATATACATCATTGCCTATATATAAATATACATTTATAAAAAGGAGAAACATATGGACGCCATAAGATGTCAGGTGACCCCCACTTGCACCCGGTTCCACCGAAGCCCGAGGAGAGATTGCGGAGCACGCGCTGGGCCAGGTGAAGGCCATGGCGGAGGAGCGGCAGAAGCAGAAGATGCGGCCGGGCACTGGAGTGCGACCCTTGACCGGCCGCACAGGCGAGCTGGGGAGCGGCGGGTGGGGGTTGGGGGGGTGGGTGCGGGGGGGGGGTAGGGAATGAGGGACGAGCTGGGGGGCTTTACTTGGGGCAATAACTTGGTATCACCGAACACGCCACAAAAGCCCGTGGTTGAAGAACAACATTGGCTCTGTTTGCTGGGGCCATCATGATAACCCCGGATAAACAAACACCTGGCGGAGTCTTTGAGGGAAGTGTTTTCACCAACAGTCACGTTTGCGTTCGGCTGACGAGGCTGAGTTGTGCCGAAGAAGCAGACCCTTTGATACAAAGTTTTGCGCATGACTTTCCGTCTGTGCTGACCGCAATCCACTTCCAACTGAGTACTCCTGAGATCTCCTGAAGTCCTGGGGGGGATTGGATACTCCTAGGCTGCTTGCCACTTGCCACATCTGGGCCGAACACCCTGTAAGGTAAAGCGTTCCTTCAAGGGCTTAAGGTTCCCCGCCAACTGACAATCTGGGCTGCTCTACATGGAGCGTCGGCCAACCTTAAGCCTTGCCTATTGGGGTGCAACAAAAGTTGTCCCTGAGACCAAGCGAATAAACTTGCTGGTGAGTAGGGAATGTGGGAATGAACCCATGGATTCCCCTGAAGGAAACCACAAAAAATGGTTTATAGTGGTCATTCCAATTCTCCTGTTGGCCAAATGATTTACGCAAAGGACGGCAAATCGGTTTCCAAACACGGATCCCAAGGCCCCTCAATGACTAGAGAAGATTGAATGGATTCTTCGGATGGGCCCCTAATGCTTCAGGCTCAACCTCGTGCCGGGGTAGGTGCCCCTAAACAGACTCTGTGCGCCATGGTCAGAAGACCTTACATTAGCAGGAATTGTTTTTTCCCCGATGTGGTTTACCCTTTAACAGAGATGTTGGACAACCATTAATTCTGAGAATTCTTACTAAGGGCATGACCTATAGAGTCTTGACCCCGTCACATATTACAATCATATACTACCCCTCTCTCTCTCTATATATATACACATATATATATAAGGTTCAAGCCTGTGTGAACATTGCTGCGTCGCAAATTTAGGACAACACGTCCCAAGCTCGAAGGCGAGCCACTGCTAGAACACCTCAGGTGCTAGAAACCGTCAAAGGGTTGGGTTACAGGGAATTCTACAGGAAAACAGCTGATTTAGGGTGTTTCAGGGCCATTCCTGTAGATTTAGCTTACAACCAAGCTAAGAAAATCACAGCCCACGGCCCGCGCGCCGGCCATTGCCAGGGACGGCAAGCTCCCGGCCTGGTACAGGGGCGCTGGGTTGCAGCGGACGCCTATCCAACATGGGGTCCACCTTCAGCATGACCCTGAACTCCACTGGCCGCCTGAGCCGCCTGTCTCTGGTCCAAAGCCTTTGAGCTTTGGGAAAGTATTGCAAAGAACAACTAGGTGGTGTTTGGAAGGGAGCCAAGGAGCTGCTGGTAGCCAAATTTGACTTTGAAGACGGAGCCAAGGAGGTAGTCCGACTTTTTGAGGGGTTTGGGCCCAGTCATCCAGTCAGCCTCAGTCTCCTTTTCGCCCAACGAAAGGGCTATGTTTTTGGCTTGTCTCCAAGAGGAGACGCAGTGGCTTTCTACCAACGTATTCATTCTGGAACAAACGCAACAATGGTTGGCGGACGGAACACCTCCTGTAAGTATGTCCATCAAAAGGAGCCCAATTGAATGTGATACCCAAAGAAGCTCAACGTGCCGCCTTTAACGTGGTTCAAGAGTGACACGACCCCAGTTCCCATGAGTCAGAGCACCTTCCAAACAGGCGTCCTCCCTCCTAGTCTTCCCGTTGGGCTTTTAGAATGATGGTTGTTTCCGGTGGCCTTTGCATTCCGCCAGCAACCCAGCAGAGCAGGATCCATCATTCTGGCCAAATGATACACCTGGTATTCAGGTGCCTTGCGGTCCCTCACTCGGGGAGGCCTTGCTTCTGCTTTGTGAATATACGTGACCGGACACCGAATCAAGACGCGAACGAGTTGTGAAATGTGAACGAGCTTTTGCCTAGTCTGTGATCTGAGCTCACCTGTAAAGCGAGCTCGCTATGCAGGTCCTTTGCTCGTTGGATACAATTATTATTTCAGGTTTGGTTTTTGTTGGCGGCTGTAGGATCCATACAACTCTCGGATTAATCTGAGGGGTGACCCCAACAGTGAAGGATCTCGCCCAAGGGGTCTGCGCTGTAGGTCCTTCACTTGGGGATCCCATTCTTATTTCAGGCGTTGGACATTCGCCCTTCGGAGCCACCAGGAGTTCTGGAAGGACATGCCCTCCCGTCCACTAAGATGAAGGGACGACCATGTTCCTTCAGCATGAACCATTTCTCTACTGAGTTCCTTGTTCGTGGACAGGAGGGTACTTGTTTTATGAGGGTACTAGTTTCAGCTCTTGTGGGAGATGTAGAGGACAACCCTTTGGGACTCAGGGCACAACCCATCTCGTGGGCTTGCGATTCCACTTGCTTCACTTCGTAGCTGTACCCTCCCCATTCTCTTCAGTGATTTGTTTCACTTCTAAAAATGGGTTTTCCAAACCATGGGACAAATAAATTATTGGTTTCCTAAGCGAACGATGGGTGAAGAGAATGCAGAATCAAACCGATTGGTGGTTTCAATCCCCAGGCAAACACCAGGCAAACAGTGCTGGTTATATATCTACCCAACTATTAGGTTCTATATTAGCCCAACCATTGCTTCAATGGTGGGTTAAATCTACCCAAGGATTAGGTTTCCATATTAACCCAACCATTGTTTTAATGGTGGATTTTTGAAAGCTGATGGTTGTAATGGTTGTTTTTTCAAATCGAAGGCAGCCAACAGCTCTTTTCCCATCTTGATATGCCAAGGGCGTCCATTTGCAAACTATGCTCATGGGTTTTAATGTAGTGGTTGTTCCTGGCAACTGAACCGGGTTTTAGCGATTGGCCGACCGCGGGGTTTAGGCACGGCGAACCGCTCCCGCGGCGGTGCCTCCGGGAGCTTCCGCCCGGGCACCGGGCGCCCGGGCACTGGCTCGGCCATCTCCATGGCCGACGCAGCTGGGAGAAAAAAAAACGAACTGGGCTCGGGGGGAAGCCGGAAATTCAGAGGATTTGTTTGGGGGGGTGGAAAGGGATTTGGGGGAAGCCTGAATTTCAATAAATCCCTTGGTGGGTTGGATTGGATTGGATTGGATTGGATTGGATTGGATTGGATTGGATTGGATTGGATTGGTGGGATTGGATTGGGATCTCTGCAGAAGAAGAATGACAGTCTTGGCTTTGCAAACTCGTGACTGTATACAACCATGAGGCCGCTCATTGGTTGTTTGGATTGGTGGTTTGGATTTGAACATTTTATTATCTGGTTCTTGAGAAGAAATGGGACACCACCCCGAAGCACCAAACCCATCCAAAGCACCAACTAGAGGGAGCCTGAGAAATGCATTCATTTGTGTTTCAGACGATTTTGTTATTTTCCACTGTTCGTTTCAAAGTGAGTTCACTTTTTTCAGGGGACTCAAGCAAATCGAATGGGCGGCTTCCACTGTCATCGAAACCCGGGGCTCGAAAAGGGGTACCCTCCCTCCAAAAGAGTCTTGAACACTTCCTCAAGTGTGTCATCATACGTAGTCTGAGGTCAGTTTGCTTGAACCTGGATTGAAATCACAGATTTCACTGATCAACACCAGAAACCGAGAATTTGCAGGTGGTGATCTCGAGGTCTGAAAAATGGCAGAGCGTTGGTATTCACCGTGAGTAGCCGCGAGCTTTAGTAGGTATAGTCAAGGTGATGTATGTTGTCCAAATAGCCATCTTGGATTCCTAAGCGAAAGTCAATGTTTGGGGCTGCGTGAAAAAATGGTTGCCCCACCATGAGTGCAACACGCACCGGAGCAGATTGTATTTTGCCTACTTTGTCATGGGGATGCCCCATGCGTATGGCACCCAAACAACTGTGAAAAAGTTTGTTGCACGTAGCACTGCTGCCTCGAGCCTTGAGCAGGGCTCCCTGGTCACGTTGCCGGGAAAACCAAGAGGACGTTGTTTAAGCCATAGCCCAACAGCGGTTTAAACAAGGGTGTGTATTTCTTGGAGGTTTTAGAAGGAAGCCTTTGCTATTCTTTGGGGGGTTCCCCGATTCAAACACAAAACCCCACGTGTTGAGAAACCAGGGCTTGGCCACGTTACGCAAGGAGAGTGACAACTCAGTGCACAGCGATGCACCAGCGGTGGAGGCTGAAGATGGCGGGGCATTGGCCGCTCGGAATGGACGGATCCGCGCGCATTGTCGGGGATCGGGCCTCTTGGGTATAACATGTTCCAGGTCGAACCACAAGGAAAATCACCATGTTGGGGGTCCCTCAGGTTGACGCCTGGGTATGAATATTAATAGGGGACCCCTTGCTGGACACCAAAATCCGTAGCCAATTTTAGGTGCTACACGGATCAAACCGTGTTTTGGTTTTTGCGCTATTTCAGGCCACGGTTGGGAGGTTTGAGCAAGCCATGTTTAGAGACCTCTAGCAATGTGCTTTTCTGGTCGTGACTCATTTACACAATAGCCGTCATAGCCATGGCAAGCACATAGACCTGAAAGGTACTTGGGGGTGCTAATTTGTTGCAAGAATGTATTTTTGCCTTTGTGTTCAGCTCCCATGTGTAGCATTTTAGGCACCTACCCCAGGACTTAAAAGTGTGCATTGCAATGCTCATCGACCAGCGCAGCAGCGACCATGAAGTGTGGGGTTCTTTGTGGATATTGCTGACTTTCGCGTGAGAACACTAGCTTTATGATACTGGTGGCTTGCCTTTGAATATGAAGCCAACTCTGTCTGAAAACACCCATGTTTTCAAGTGGCAGTCAGAGCCCCAGTTTCCAGTATTGCTCATGTTGCCTTGGCGTTTTGGGAGTGGGGAGTCCCTTTGTAGTCAACCAACACAGAGGCGTGTCGCTGTAGCTGTCACCTCTTGTGAGCTTCACATGAAAGCGGCCAACTGTGCCAAAAACAGTCATGGACTTGCCACAACTGGGGAAAAAGCAAAAGAGATAAGTGGGTTCCGGGGCTTCCGCTGTCAGCTTCCATGAGGGTCTGAACACCTGAAGCGGGGTGGGGCGATACTCAGCCAAATTACCTCATGATCATGGAATAGTTGTGTTGTAACTATTTGGCCCCTTGTATTATCATGGATCATTTGTACAAGAGATCATCTTGAAATGGCACCAAGCCAAGTCACCTAATTTAGCATCTTATATAGGAGTCTCTTTTTGATTTAACTTACCACCGATTGACATGGAACCTGCCGTTCTGGTTTGGGCCATTTTCCTTTGATGTGAAAAGGGTGGGAGGGGTACATGGAGGTTTGTCCCAAAAATATCGGGCTCCTTTGGTTCCCTTTAAGTTTCCCTTTACTGTAACCCCCCGCAAAGGGTAGGGTGCCATCACCAAAGGACACACCGGGTGGCCTTAAGTGACGTCGCAAGGATGACGGCGTGAAGTTCTTCGACGTGGTGCGCTCTGCCGGGGGCGCGGATGCGGTGCCGGAACCGGCAGAGGGGGAGGCGGATCGAGGGCGAGGGCCGGGCCCGCTGCAAAGGAAAACCCAAAGGCGGCCAGAGGGCGTTCAAAGCTCTGCTGCCCAGTGGCGCCCTTTTTCCTTTTTTTTGGGAAAGGGTTCCCTTTAAACTCAAGCAACCAAAAAATAAGACCCTTTGTGTTCCCATGGCCACTGGGCATCTGAGAAAGCCACAGTTGTGTAAAACACCTGTATATCGACAGCTCCCGGAAATAAGTACCTTGGAGGGACTGGAGGTTGTTTCAGTATGTTGGTTTCCCTTTTGGGCTTCCTTGAAAACTTACAGAGGGAAATCACTCCAAAAAAGACAGACCCAAGACGCAAGTGGGTCCTTCTTTGTTGGAGTTGATACCCCTTATTGTTTGTAAGTGTTGAAGGGACACCAAACAAACAAACCCCGCCTTCTTGCGGGGATCCAACCCGGTCTAACCTTCCAAAAGACATCAGTCTGATGGCCAAAGGGAAATAAAAGAAGGAAGATGTCAAGAATTTGAAGACAGACTGGTGTGAAAGACTGGTATAACAACCTTGACATAGGCCAAATTTCCACAACCGGGGCACCAGATGTCAAGATGTTTGCCTCCAGGCGGCCCTCAAGGAGGCCTTGCCGCTGGCGGAGGCGCTGGACGAGGCGCCCGAAGTCTGACGGAAGAGATGGGTGGCTCGTTTTTGGGACCCACAAGATGAGCTAACCAATCAAAACCAGTCAAAACCAATCAACTGAGCTAGTACCAAAATGAGCGTTTTTGGGACCCACTCAAAACCCTATGCTAACTGGAGGGCAAGGGACCACAGCCAGAAATGTGTGCGGATGTCCACCTTTTCAATTCTTGAAGCATGGTTCTGGAAGTTTTGATGATGACTCAAATAGGTTTCTGTTGTTTTGGTGGTTTTGGGCACACGCAAAGAACAAAACAGACTTCCATGGTCTATGTTTGAGTGTACCTGGTTCTTGGTGGTTTCAAAGGAAGTGTAGGACAGGGTGTCCTCGCCCTTTTGGAACCTCAAGTGGCAATTCAATGAACACCACCAAAAATTGATCAACTTTGGAAGGGGACATCCAGGGACCCCTCACAGAACACATGGTTTTCCTGCTGAGCCTTGTGAATGGTGTTGTTCGTTTGGTACCCTTTTTGGGAATATCTGAAGGAAGCCAACTACGGGACGTGGCTCTGTTTTGGAGGGTTTCCCGTTTCCACATTGGCGTATGGTGCTGGATGGTCAACTCCATGACTTACCTATCAGAAGGAATTGGTCCATGGTGTGGTTTAAAAGGATGATGAGTGATCACCAAGCGTGTATGTTTGTTCGTAATGTAGACCCTTCTCACATGAGAAGTGCACGGGGCATCATGTGCAGCAACCAGAATTGACGGTGTTCAGTGTTGCTGGGTTCAGCAACATGAGCTCCCTTTGAGTCACAATTTTGAACATGTTGCAAGGGGGAAGTTAGAGAGAGAGAGTAGACACAGCTCCATTTGCAACCCTTGTTGTTGGACAGTATTTTTGTGAACGTTGATCTGCCAGTGCAAACTAGGAGAAACTTGACATTTTGCGGGTCACAATCAGTGTCAACACCATTTGAGTCGAAACCTGATGTGGATGTATTTGTTTGTTTATCCGAAGTTTGACTAGGATCCCATTCAGAAATGGAAACACCTGAATTCGTAGTTGTTTGTTGTTATTATGTTCTTGCGCAGAACATAGTGCATGTTTCGCAAGCACCTGCTTGGTTTCATGAGGGCAACATTCATCAAGGCTTGAAGCATATCCGGCGACTGTGTTGAAAAGAAGCTAAAGCAATCCCTTGCCCTTGTCTTGCTTGACTTCCTTGATATGTCAGTTCCTTAGTTGCTTCTTGGCCTCTGTCTATTTTCTGTTGTCTGTAAAGAGCAATGTAAATTGAATTCATACTGCGGGCACTGTACAAAGAAGCTCAAGGAGGTGTTTGAAATGGCTCGTCCTGCCCTGCAACCTTTAAGCGTGTGCAGAGGGGACGCTTGTCAAGAAAACCGAATCAAAGCAATCAACCTTTCACCATTGATGCAGATTCCACAACTGCTGTTCGCTGAATCATAGTTAAGTTAGATGGTTTGTCGGCTGGGTTCCTTCCTGAAACGCCGCCCCTTTTGGCCACAAACACACCACGCAGATGTGTATTGTGGGACTAGCACCCCTGAGAGGTCGCTTTAGACTTTGTGGCGCCCCTCATCGCGCTCTTCGGCGAGGGCTGGACCAGGCGGAAAGAAGCGGAGGGCAGAATAGTGGCATTGGAGGTAAACATACGATCGAACAATTGTTCGGCAAGTGGAACGCCCAAGAAACCTAGCTGGGCTAAAAAAGGTTAAGGGAAGAAGCAAGATGAGGAAGAACGCCCTATTTTGGTGTCCTCCTGTTGTTCACCTTAGAGAAGCGATATTGTGCCTACCAGCTGCCTCCGGAAGCATCGCTTGAGTCGCGAGGAGGAGAGACAGGGGTTTCGCTGATGTTCTCATGCCAAACTCGCCAAAGACTTCCTGTGCTCATGCGTTCAGAATAGATATGGCTATAAAAATATGTCTTCTGAAAAAACCACTTTACACATGGTTGATGGACGTAATTTCCGATGTACATGACGTGGTTAAAAATGACACTCTTGTGAAATAAGCATTGACGTGACAATATTTGTGTAAAAAGCACTGGTTCAGTTCAGGCGATGCAAGCAAATTTATGACTGTAAGTCTTAGGTTTCCGCGTTCCAGGTGGACAACCTTGAAAAGTCGCTAGTGCGTGGAAAACGTGCTCGCATTCGCGCCAATCAACAAGGATCGAGTTGCTGCTCCCACCTCTCATATGCACAAAAAGTTGCAATTCACAGTGGTCCCTTCTCAACTGCTCATCTCACTGCTTTGCAGGTTGGGCAAATTGAGTACTCTGTGCCAAAAGGGAAACCAACAGCTGCTTAAGCAACTGGCGTTGCACAATTGAAGCGGGGCTTGGCCCAGCCCTGCTGCTTCACGCGCCAAGCTCCACTTGTTCCAGATCATTTCAGTGGGACAGCGAAAGCTCAAGCTTTGCTTGGATCCATCGTCTTGAGAACGCACGTCTCAGTCCCCATCTCTGAATTCCCCGGCACAGCATCAGAGTTGCCGCTCTTTAGGGAACTTGTGTTAGTCATTCCGGGGTTGCGGGTGTCCAACCCCACTTCTGTGCGACCCCCGTCACAAGTCAGCGCTGTGGCCCCAAAAGTAAACAAGAGAAGCCCTCAAAAGGCTTGAATTTTGTTCGCGGACCCAGGAACCCTTGGTCACCCTTCCACATTCTTTGGAGGGCTCTTTTGGTCTCACCCAGAATGAAGGTTCCGTTGAGAGGAGACCCTATTTTTGAGTTGGTAAACTGCTAGGTGTTGCCCAGAACACATGAAACTCAATTCACGCCCTCAATGCCGGAGTTCAAGTGGCCGACCGTCCTGACCCAAGCCAAACCATCTGCCCTTGATCCTTTCCCTTGCAACACAGAGGCACAACAGCACCTAACATCCTTCAAAGGAGACTTGAAGCCGTTCAACGAAGGGGCTCTCCATTTTGGGATGCTCCCCCAAGACTTCAGGAAGCTAAGGACTGGGGGGGACATGCTCGATTTCTGCTCTGTGAGCAACCCAGACATGCAAGCCAAAGGTGTCCGCAAGGCCTTTTCTCCCGAACAAAAACCCTCAGAAAGAGCCAGAGATGAGTTGTTGGAGATATGACTGGGCTCGGAGACATGCACTCACTTCAGTTGCTCAAGTCTTTTTGGCTTTCTTGTGCTGGCTTCTGCATATCCTGGAGCTGAGCCTGGTGAGTTTCCCCCCGCCGTGTTGCTTCATGAGAAGCCAAAATTGGTGTTGCTGAAACATGGGAATCATTTGGTCTAGGCTTAGGCGACACATCATCTCATTTCCCAAGTGTGAGGGCTTGTGCTGTTTAGGGAGGATCATTTGAGAAACAGGTTGACTCAGTGAGATGGTTCGAGTCACCCAGCTGCCTCTCCGACCTTTCTGTGCACTTGGAGTAAGGAGTACTGACACAATCCTGAGGGGTCACAACTGATTGGAACCCTGTATCAAGTATGCTATGCATGTTTGCTCATGGCATGGCTTTGGGCATGAGAATCTTCAAACCCAGAAGTGTCATTGCTCCGCAAGGTATTGAAGGAAGTCAATTTGAACAAATGAGATTGTGGCGGAAGTGACGTTTTTTATCCCAGCAGGTGCTTCTACAGCCGGAACTGGCAGTGCCGCGTGGCGGCCCTGACCCATCTGTCGGCAGTCATGGCGCAACGCCTGGAGGCGGGGCGCCAAGGAGCGGATGCTGAGCCAGCCGCTCACTCGCAGCACCGAAAAACGAAAACATCATGCAAAGGGAAAGAGCTTTGACAAATGGCATTCGTCATGTGTTGTGGCGTTTTTGTGCTTTTTTGCTTTTGATTGTTTGTTTTTTCTAGTTTTCTAGTTTTCTTCCCCGGCGGAGTTCCTCGCTTCCCCCTTCCCCAAAGCATCCCTGCTAGTTCGTCTCCCCTGTCCAAAGCGCGCCCAAAAGCGAGGCCACGAATATTTGGCAACAAATGCCACCCCTGTGCCCTTGTAAGACAAGAACCTTGTTTCGCTGGGAGTTCCTTCCTCCCGCGTCCCTTCCAGAAGCATCGCTTGGTTTCTCTGGGCCTGCAGCATGTGGGAAATCAACCTTTTGGCTCCAAGCAAATCTGGCGGGTTCGGCATCCACCAGACAGCCAGATGGTGTCTCACCTAATGCCAAACCTTAATCACAAGACCTGGGTACGGGTTCGTCTCTTTTGGGATACCCTTCTTGTGTGGTGCTTTGAAAGAAAACCAAAAGACAAACCACTTTTTGTTGTCCGGGGGGCCGTAAATTAAGACACACTGTCCATATGTTGTAAACTTCACGGGCAAAACGACGCGAAGGCCACAGACAGCGCCAACATCGCAGAGCTGCTGGACGGCTGCATGCGCGCGGTGCACGAGGGTCTAGGCGACCAGAACGTCCGGGTCTACGCGGAGGTCCGGAGTCGAGGGTCCGTTTTTGAGTTGAAACAAATGTTGGCCAAAAGTACATTGTTTATTTTTGACAGTCCGTGTCAAAAACAAAAGATAAAGGGAATGAAATAGTAATAGCGTGCATTGATTTTATATTTTATTTTTTAAAAGTGTTCTTGCTATTTAGTTGCAGCTAATATTCGGTGATATATGTGGGTCGTGGGTGCGCGCCAAAGCCTGCATGAGCCACCATCAGAACACGGGATTTATGAAGGTTTAGGGGTTCCAGCCATCAATGGCTGTGGAATATCCGAGTCTTTGCGTGATTCTTCTAGGCAGACCATGTTTAATACCAGGTGTTGATTTTGACTCACATGGAGTGCTTGGCTGCACGCAGTGTTGCCAATTTCGGTCAAAGTGTGCTTTGCTTGGGAAGGACTTGGAGGGCTTACAAGGTTTTCAATCAAAATGCAGATTCAACATCTATCCGACATAGTTTCACCGTGGTTCATATGCTCCTGGCTTGCGGTCACTTTTCTGGGCAAGCATGTGCAAAGCATAGCAGCCTCACGCGAAGTATGGTAACACTTGCCAAGATCACTGGCATAGTGGCAACTCGGGGGTCCGCGGTTGCAACCGAGCGATTTCTGAGTTTGCATTTTGGGAACCCCAGTGGTTCAAGCATGTTTAAACCAAAGGTTGAATCGCCACGCTGCGAGCCTTCACCTCAGAGGCCTGCATGTCGGTGACGGCGATCGTGCCGGCCTTCTGCGGCACGGTGGACGGGCGCTTGCTGGTGGCCCATTTGGCGCCCTTGCTGCGCCAGCTGTGCGCGCGTATGGGGGACTCAAAGGAGGGGAGAGGGAAGGGGAGATTGAGGGATCCGCAAAGGTGAGGATCGAAACAAATTGAGGGAGACCTGTTTGGCAACGGCTCCAGTCCTTTTTGTTTGATGGTCAAAGAACCACCACCCAAAAGAGGGCTAACACCCGAAGGGGGGTGACTTGTGAGGCGCCTAGTGAAGCCGAAAGTGTCTATGATCATTGGAGGGGGGCTGACAACCGTACGATATTTGGAGGGATTCTAAACGGAACCCCAACATTGTTGAGGAGTTCCGTCATTTATCGGGACGCCCACAATATCTGATTGCTTGGGGAATATTGTTGAACGACCCCATTCCAATCACAAATGGATCCTCGTAGTGCGGACATTTCCAGATTCCCGACTGAGAACAAAGAAGGAGGGGCCAGTTTTTGGAGCCGAAAGAGGCAACCGCGGCAACCCCATGGAAGAAACGATCAACCAGCCAAGCGAGGAGGCGGTCCGGACCCAGACGACACAAGCCATCTTCCGGCTGATGAACCCCCCCACAGGGAACATCGTCAGCCCGGTGGCCATTGCCATGCTGCGGCTCGCTGACATGGCTTCGGCGGTCGGAACTTGTTGCATCACCCCAGTTGGGTGAAAGTACATGGCACAAATTCCCCCATGTTTCTTGTATCATCCCGCTTGCTTCTCGACAGAAAGGAGATCGTGCAATCTACTGTTGGATAGAGGGCGCATGTCTCATGGTGTGTTCCATTTTCCCGGGGGTTTGGATCAATTCCCCTATTAAGTTCCCCTGATGGTTTAGTTTAGACATTGTTTAAGCGACGTTTCCGCCAGGTGGTATTGCAAATGGGAATTCGGGGAACTACATCGACGACACCCGTGCTCAAGAATGGGGTGAAAGGGGTTGGGTGGGTTCAGTGCAACAGAAAACAAGTTGTCTTCCGGCAGCAAGCCGTGCTGCACTTCCGCGTCTGTCGAAGGACCGTAGAGCTTGCTTGAGAGGGGAGAACTCAAAGACAGCCGTACTGACAGTGACAGACAACATTGACAGGGGATCAAGTTGTGGTGGTCTATTTCCTATTGGTTTTGCAGGTGTACCGGCTTTTGGCGGTCTGCTATCGGTTTATTATGCTATCATGGTGAGCTGCTCCGCATGGTCTTCACACCCACAGTGAGGGGCAAAATGGCAAAGCCGCCTGTCAAGATTTGGCCTTGGCTTTGGCGGATTCCTCATGATTCCTTGGCTTCAAGAGGGATGCTGCAAGGTTTGTTCAGCGACCCGCTGCACCGTGTTGGCCGGAGCTGATTCAACTTTGGGACAATACGATTAAACTAAGAGCAAAGAACACGGCATACTTCTGTTTTCGCTGTTTTGGGCGCAGTCACACAATGGCTTGTTTAGGACAGATTCCTTCCGCGCATTGCCATCTATATACCCAAGTGCGCAAAATGAACATGGTGGACCTCCCAAAGTGGAGGTTGTTTGTTGCAAAGTGAGCCGCAAAAAGGGGTTTTCCTGATGTGAACCCAGAATGACAGAAAGACTGGTTGATAACAGAAGGGTGTCTCAATGACGCGCGGAATACATATATATATATATATACATTTATACATAGATACATATGGTACCCCCTAGATTAACCATCCCCAAGAGGCAGAAATCCAGGGTCCATGAGGAGGGGGGGTGCATGTATAATATATAGATATGTATATGTGTATATATATATATTCTCACAATTCAGGCAACGCATCCCCTGAAAGACGGCATGCCCAGGATCTTGCGGCACCTCACACCCATGAAGGAGGAGGACGCGGATTCCCCGATGGCCTCGGTGAGCAAGGGCGCCACGGGCAAGGGCGCCACCACAGGCAGGGGCAAAGCAACCCCCCAGCAGAGGTTGGGCGTTCCAATGTTTCATCAGCAGAACAGCAGCAGCAGAATAGCAGCAGAACAGCAGCAGCAGAACAGCAGCAGCAGAACAGCAGTCGGCGCTGTCGTCCTTTTATTGCATGAAGTCATCTTGTTCTTAATTGCTGATGCAATTGTGGCTCTCAAACGAGTTATAGTTTTGAGTATGCCGATATTTCATGCAAACGTAGAATGTGTTGTAGACTGGTTGATATTGCAACAATGGTTGGTGAACAGACTCCGCTTCCTAAAGCGAGCCAGTGGCACTGAGATGGATTTGAGCGCCACGGCTTACTAAAGCAAAGCTTGGGCCGTCGTGATGGGCTGAAGCGTGGACTTGCCTGGAGCCAACTCAACGTGTTCGACCCTTATCTTTGGAAACACCGGTCAGCTCACCGGCCAGCAGCCGCATGAATTTTGGAGGGGCATTGCATCATGGGCAATGGGGGATTTAAGCTGGTTCCCGGACTTCCGGGTTTGCAGATTGGCAAGCTCTTTTTTTTCTTGACGCGGTGAGGGTGCATGGATTGCACTTATTTTGGCAGCATTGCGGGCCTTTGGAGGCTGGCTTTGTCGCATCGGAGCGCTTAGAGATCTCTGCAAGGCCGGTGAGGTCGATTGGGGTTGGAACATGTGCAGGGTCCGACAAAAGGACATGTTCGACCACTTGCTTGCTAAGTCAGCGCACCCATGCTTGCTTGGCTAAATCGGCGTTTGTTAAGACACATCGCCAAGATGTCGGCATGTGCAAGTGGTCCTGACTGTTCCAGCTAGGCTTCATTCTTTTAAACAAGCTGACGTTGGCAAAGAACTTACCCTCTAACGTGGCGCCTGACGGTCCCTTCAGGAAATTGATCTTCCAGGTACCTCCCCACAGGCGCCATGTTGGTGAGGGGAAGGGTACCTGAGTTGCCAAACATGAAGAACTCGGCAGGTTTGATTCAACTCAGGCAGAAGTGTCGCTTTGTTTGGCAACGGTCAGACCAGTCCAAACTGCGGTTTGCCCCTCCAATGGGCGGCAGGGCCTTGGCGTGTCACCAAGCCCCAGAATCAGCGGCTCCCATTTCCCGAGGCCAACACGATTTCTGGAACTCTTGGCACTTGTTCCTGCCGAGAAATGGGAATGACCGATAAACATGGCAGTTTGTTGGTGTCACCCGTGGCAAATGTAAGATTATGTGCCGGTTTGAGCATTACCTGTGGCGACCTTCTTGAGTTTCCTTCAAGGGTGTGGTAATGTTTGAAGGAGACATTTGAGTAGCTTTGTAAATTTGTTCAATGGCACTGCCTTCCGCTACATTTCCTAGAGGGGGAACAGCCCGGGAGAACTACCCGCGAGGCTTTTCGGAGTCCCCTGTTGCCTGGCGCAAAGTGTTCTAGTGGCGCTTCGATCGAAGGAAAAGCAAGACCGACCCTCATCTTGGTAGGCGTCTGCATTAGCAGGGAGTTCAGTGAAGTGCAACCAGAGGGGCTCAAGCAACAACCAATTGTCTTTTTGGCACCCCTTCAACCTTTTCACCTTTTGGAACAGTACGCCTTGCCTACCCCTTGCCCGCTCATAAACCCCTTTCTCCACAGCCTGGTACTGTTAGTTGTAGATGAAGGCCAGCAAGGGACAATCGCAACCATGCACAGGTGCGGCCGCTTGATTTCTTCACCATCTGGGGCCCATTTGAATACCAGGTTTTGACGGTGAATCGGCAGGAGTACTCCAAGTCCATTGTGCAGCAGCCGGGCAGCACCAACCCCGGGGAGTGGCTGAGACTCGCCGACGGCCTCAAGCACTCAGATCCCTACGTGCGCCACGAGTCCGTGCGCCTCTACGCCCTGGTCTGCAAGATGCATTTGCCACGCGAAAGCAACTAGTTGCGTCATTGAGCTTGGCGTTTCCCGTTTGTTGGGCTGGGGGTCCCTTTGAATAGAACGGCTTGTCGTTTGCCTCACTTCCTGAGTTGGACCTTAAACTTTTTGGGAGAACCATTTTTGTGGCGAACAACAAGTCCGGACTTTTTGCTGAACCATCAACTCAGGAAGTGAGTTGCGGCCTTTTTGGGGTGAGGTTCTCCCTGACATGTCGTACGCAGGAAGCCGCTGGGCGACGAAGAGGCGCAGCGCCCGGCTCGGGAGATCTGGGTGGCCGCGCTGCCGAAGGATGTGCCGGGGAAGTCAGTGGCACAGGCCGGTTGAGGGTGGGGGGTGGTTGGGGGTGCGCTGAGTGAAGTCTCCATTCTCACTTCCTGACTTCATGCTTGCTCATCCCTGAAAGACAGGTAGTCATGTTTTCCATGTTTGCTTGCAAGTGTCGGGCTGCCATACTGACCCATAGGTGCCCTCTTGCGCAAGCGATGACACTGGTAAATGAACGAGGCATTCCAACAAAGGATTAGGTCCTTGCATTGTTGTTTTATTATATATATATATATATTCGAGAAGGAACCTGAGAAGAATCAAGCCAAGAAGGAGGCATCCCATCTGCAGTCAGGGGATCCAATGTTCCCCCCCCTCAGCAATCAACAGAACGTTGGAATCGTTGATTCACAACCTCGACGTGCAAAGCCCTTCTCCTGCGATCTTTTCGTTTCAACCGTCATGGATAGAAGACACATTTGAAGATGAACGCTGTCTTTGAACGCCCTCGCGTGAGGGTATGCATACCTGAAACCTGAAGCAATGCTTCCGGTTGTGCCTGGTAGACTCAGTCATTCGACCTTGACCCTTGGCCCCCAAGCTGAGCAACAACCACAGCTCGTGCCACAAATCAGGAAGGAGTTTCAAGGAAGTGAATACCAGAGGTCCCAAGTTGGCCGCATAGCCGTCTTTCCGCGCACGAATGACAAAGCCAAACGACATGTCCAAGGCATCCCTCATCCCCAGCACCTTCCCAACGAACTGTCCCTACATTCTTCCACACGCCCACAATGCCCCAACCCTCCCCGCATTTCTTACCTGCTCTGCAATTGCTTCAGACCCAAAAAAGCAAAAACAAGTCCAGTAGGGATACAGTAGATTCCCTTTGAAATGAACAGGGGAAAAGATAAAACCATCACTCACTTCCTGAGTGTATTGGCTAAATCAAGCACGTGTGTTTGTAATTAAGTAAACAATTAACTTGTTCTTTGGCTGTCCATGATATGGAAGAGCAGGGGACCGACTCCACTTTCCTGAGTTTGATCATCAGAAAAGCAGAGGCACCACCCATCTGAACTATTCTTTTGTTCGGGCATGTGCTCAACCAGTTCGAGAGGAAGCAAATGCGCACTGCCTCGATCGCCTTGATTTTGCGAGCTATACAGCTAGGAAATCCATGGCGCTTGCCGCCAAAGGGGCATTCGATCTAGTGGTCCATGCATTAGTTGTGGCCCAAAGCGTTTTGACCTCTGACCTTTGGCTTATCTGTTGTTGATCTCTCCAAAAGCCAAACGTCTTTTTTTGTCCCGCGAGTAGTTTGCATTGAGAACTTTATCAGAGTGAGGAGCAACACTCGTCGTGTTTCTACAGCACACCGTCGTTGGTGTGCTTGCTTGTTGTTTGCTGGCTTGCTGGCTTGTTTTCTTGCTCGCTCGCTCACTTGCTTCTTCCTTCCTGTTTTCCTTTCTTGCTTCCTTCCTTTCTTGCTTGCTTCCTTGCTTGCTTAATTGCTTTGCTTGCTTGCTTGCTTGCTTGCTTGCTTGCTTGCTTGCTTGCTTGCTTGCTTGCTTGCTTGCTTGCTTGCTTGCTTGCTTGCTTGCTTGCTTGCTTGCTTGCTTGCTTGCTTGCTTGCTTGCTTGCTTGCTTGCTTGCTTGCTTGCTTGCTTGCTTGCTTGCTTGCTTGCTTGCTTGCTTGCTTGCTTGCTTGCTTGCTTGCTTGCTTGCTTGCTTGCTTGCTTGCTTGCTTGCTTGCTTGCTTGCTTGCTTGCTTGCTTGCTTGCTTGCTTGCTTGCTTGCTTGCTTGCTTGCTTGCTTGCTTGCTTGCTTGCTTGCTTGCTTGCTTGCTTGCTTGCTTGCTTGCTTGCTTGCTTGCTTGCTTGCTTGCTTGCTTGCTTGCTTGCTTGCTTGCTTGCTCCTCCTTTCCTCCTTTCCTCCTTTCCTCCTTTCCTTTTCCTTTCTTTCTTTCTTTCTTTCTTGCTTTCTGTCTTTCTTTCTTTCTTTCTTTCTTTCTTTCTTTCTTCCCCCCCTTATGCTTTGTTTCGTTCTTTGACTCTTTCTTTCTGTGGTTCCTTGGTGTCTCTTCCACCCTGATGTTTCCCGTGGGAGGGCATGTGACGTTGAGGTCCGAAAGTATTTGAAGCTTCCAGACACCGGCGCTGCTCCCAGCTGCTCGGACTTTGACTCGACCTGGAATCATCAAGTCCAGACCAAGCCACCAACTGGAGGGAAGCTGCCAAAAAAGGGTGTTTGTGTTTGCTACCTGTTGAGAGTGGGTGGTGTCAAAACTTGTGGAGCCCCACATCAGGCTGTTTCCTATTTAGTTTCCATTTTGAATCGACCAAACGCCGATTCGCCAAGAACAAACCACCCAGTTGTGCAAGGTGGCCCGACTTGTCGTTGGCTGGTAAGGAGCCGGTGACTCTGAGGCTTGGAGCGGCAGAAGAGTCTGAGCACGGCGGCGGCGCCGTGGCAGGTGCCGCCTCAGCTGGCCACGTGGGCGGGTTGCCCCCTAGAGGCGCTCGCAGCGCTGTGCGCGCCGCAGGCGGGTGATGAGAAGGCGGGGGCGTTTTGGAAGAAATCGGCGGGGGCAAAATCTCGGTGGCTTCCAGGAACTTCTGTGATACGTTTGGGAATCTCCCCCTTATGTCCTGGAAGGTTAGTCTTTGAGAAGCCCGTTTTGTTGTATCGCAGAACTGGATTCCATTTCCCACAACCCTGAATCGGCGTGCCTAGTTTTGACATCGCTTCGCTGCAAAGACACATCCGCAACTATCACTACAGGGGGCATCGGGCACATGACCCATTGCCAAGGAAGTTAGCAGAAAATTCAATGCCAGTTTGAGCCACTTGCGGAAGACCCGTGTTTGCGTGTTTCGGACGCTGCAAGGCTGTGATTGCGGCCTTGAAAGCCTTAGGCAAGGGCAAGGAGGCCGACAAGACTGACAAGGCACGCGATTTTGGTGTGCTCACCGATGCCGGTGGGGTCCGTTCACCTTCAGGTAGCTTTGGCAACGGAAAGGAAAGGGGCCCTACTTGCCGCAACCTACGCCTGGCTTCAGAAATGGTAAATTAGCAAAGTCACTAGCCCTCACCAGAAAAGGCATCGCAGTTGTGAAGAAAATGTAGGTAAACCTATGGGCTGCCTTGTGCATGGCTGTGAAGGCCACTTTGATTGAAACCAATAAATCCTCCTCTTTAAGTGATGCAGTCTGATTTGGCAACTAGCGAGCTCACCTCGAAATGTAAAGCGAGCTCACCCATGAAGGCCCCATCACTTGTTTGAGTCATCGGGAAGGCCCGCTTTGTCCAACTGTGGTATCACAGAACTGGTGATTTCTCACAACGGAAAGGACCGACGTCTTTTTGGAACCCACTTCAAGAGCTTCCAAGCCTGAAGCCGTTGGTCACTTGGCCCACGGTCTCGGCCGTTTAGATGCGCTTCCTTCGGGGATGTTTAAATGGGAAACATGGCAAACACAAAACGGCCCCGTGCTGTTGTCGATTCCTCACGAAATCCGGGTGCACCTAGTTCTCGGGAACCCAGAATTTGCGGACAGGGCCACTCTCCCCCCACCCCACCCAAAAACAATCCCCTCGCTTATTGGCGGGGACCAGGCAACCCCTCAGGGCCGAGCACCCTGGGCTTATGTGATCCTTGCCCGTCAAACCTCAAATGGCTCAAAAGACCTTGGGCCAAGGATCAAAATGAAGAGCCTGGGACAGGGAAACGGAAGGGCACCCAAGGTAACAATACCATCGAATATCCATCCGATGCTCGTGACGACCTTACAAAGCAACACACCCCTACGAGGCTATGTATTGTGCGTTTTGTTGTACAGTTTTGAAGAACAGTTTTCTTTTTCCTTTTTTTTCAGCTGCTCTTTGCACACCAGTCTTGCGGTGGAGTCGAGAGTGTTTACCATTTCATGTTTTCAGGTTGGTGAATGCTGATTCACCCATTGGATTTTTGCAAGGGCGAAGGCTGCGGGTTTTGGGAATGAACATAGATGGATGTGGTTTTTGTTTCGGTTCATTTGCCAGTGGAGCGAGTCTTTTTCTTCAAAATGCCAATCATTCTACTGGCCAACATGTTGCACCAACTGGTTTATCCCAGTATTCAGCTCGTGCGTCCTCCATCCCTGCTTCGGTTTTGGTCCAGTCGGCTTGGGCCTGGGCTTCAAAAATAGGGGCACCTGGCAGCAGGGGTGATTTTCTTTTGGTTTTTCTTTTGGTTTTTCTTTTGGTTTTCCTTTTGGTTTCCAGCCCAAGACGGGTACCCTACCCGTTTCGGTCACCGCAGGCGAGCTGTGAGGAGGCCTTCTCAGGCATCTGCCGGGCCATCCAACAGGCCCTGGCCTACCCCACTGGCAACGATCGCTTTGCGCCTTCGGCGAATCGCGGAGCGGAGCGGAGTGGGAGTGGGAGGGGGAGGGGTTGCCCCAAAGCCAAGAGTCGACCTTTTAGTCTCCCCCAAGTAAAAGCCCAAACAGGGGGCCCTAAACAAAAACGAGCCACACCAGAGTTGGTGGGCTCGAGTTCAAGGGAAGACCAAGTTGGCAAAGATCGTTCAGTGGATTCCGGGCCCCGATTCCGGCCCAAAAGATCGCTTCTTTTCGTTGATCATTGGATGACTGGCTTGTTTCCGTTGGGTTTACTTTCCCGCACCATCCTAAAGGTTTTTAATTTAGGACACAGAAAGTTTGTTTGTTCACCTGTTCATTCAGGTCCATGATCGGGTTCATGTCCAGACATGGACCCCCAAGGGTCCGTCAGAGTCCGCATTGAGGATCTCCTTGTGGAATGCCGCTTGCCCCCTTGACTGCTCAACGACCACCCGATGGTTGATGGATAGCCCTTGAAGAAATGCGAGTGTTCCTGCGTGTTCAAAGGCTGAAGAACTCGCAATATGCGAACCACTGGTATGAATCCCTGTCTTGTTGCTTTGTTTACCAAGTCTTTGGCTGGATGAAGACCTATGAACCCCAGGCGCACGAGTCCACCCATCTATTGCGGCTCAATTGCTGGCCAGGGGCTCATAGGATGCAGCATTTGAGCTGAGATTCGAAGCAGTCGAAGAACGCTTGGTTGCCAGAAAAAAAAAAGCGGGTTCCCCTTGGTTGCAAGTTTTGTGAGCCTCCGCTTCCACCTTTGGGTTTTTTGAGGCCCAGAGTCTCTGTAGTCGGGCGTCGCTTGCTTCCAGTCGCATGTTGCCTTGTGCTTTGAATTTGGCCCAAGACTTTCCAGGGCAAAAGTACGTAGTTTTAGCATCGTTGCGTTTGGCAGCGATGGGCGGTGCTGCTAGTGCTTATCACACAGCAGGCAATGGAATGGGGCATGCCGGGCAACTTGGGCGTGCGAAGCTGGATTTCACGAGGGCTCCGAGGTATCCACCCCCAGTAGCCACGTCTCTCTGGCTAGCCTCGCGACCAAAATCCCCAAAGGCGCATGCAAAGAGGAGCGAGTGGTGGCGTACAATGCCGAAGAATGGCAAGCACGCTTCGGCAGCCAATGAGATGTGCACCTCCACCAGCACATCGTTTTGCACGTATCGCAAACAGAGCAGGAGAACTTAGTGATCCATGCAGCCAGCTCAAGTGGGAATCCAGGGAAGTCAGCAGCTTCCGAGGCACTTATCAATTCCGTTTGGGGCAATTGTCACAACTGGACTGCATAGGTTTTGTTGCAAGAGTGTCTTGTCGGACCGTGGCGAAACATAGGTTTGTGGCTCCGTCCAGTTGCCTTGAAGCTGCTGAAACCCGGTTCCATTGAACCAAGGGAGCGTGGATCAATGCAAATGTGCTCCAATCGGGCTGCCTCCGAGATACCTTGCCAGCTTCTTATGCTGCTAGACAGCATAGCACACTCAGTCAGACAGTCTGGCAAACTGCCTGTGTCACATGAGGGTGGTGTTTGGTCGAAACCACACCACTGGGCTCGAAACACAATCGTTTGCGTTTGTCCAGTTCAACGTCATACCCAAGTGGATCTGTCTCAAAGGTCCTTGTTTTAGTTTCGAGCCCAAATGGCCCACGTTGAGAATGGCACAGGGTTGAAGCCGGTTTGTGCTTAAGCTTGGCATAGCCGCCCTGCGGGGACTTTACCAGGACGTGTTACCTGCATGCAGCAACATTGTGGCAACAGTGTCAGGATTCACATGTTTGGGAACCAACTGGTCTTGCAGCGCGGTTCCGTTGTTCCGTGCACGCAGCAACAAGACAATTTGAACGTTCTGCCCTAGGAACACATGCTCTCAGGCTCTGCTGAGATAGACTTCGTACCCAGAGCAGGCTGCCATGCTGTCAGCACAAGTCAAGGCATCTTCCTGATGTAGGATGAAGCAATGGACAGTTGGATGCTCGTGTTTTCCATCAGCAGAACGTGCACGTCGGGACGTCAATTTTGAGGGAATTCAAGAGACATCCACCCGTCCTGAGGTTCCGCCAGGCCTCGTTTCGCCACACAGCCATATGTTTGGTGCCAAATGGCTATGCTTGGGTGAAGGATGCTTAGTTACCTCTTTGGGAAGAGGGATCTACATGGGTGAGCTCTGATATTTTGTGATCCTTTTGGATGGCTTGTAAAGGGAAGCAAAATGGAAAGCCAACCTTTGGTCCTCCTTTCTGGAGCCCAAGGCTACGTAACATCAAACAGACCTTATGAGCGGTCTAACTTTCTCTTCCCCAAAACGGAACACAATGCATTGAACCAGGGCCTCGCGGACGATTTCGCATAACCGGACAGCAAACCGAATTCGCGGCCAGCATGGATCAAGCCGAAAATGCTGGCGCATGGCCCCAATCGGGCTGCCTCCGAGACACTTTTCCAGCGCTATGTTGCTATGGACAACATAATGTTGACCCAGGATTAATAAACCCGTCCCATTAGGGGGGTGTTCCCTCCAAAAGTGGTCTGAATCCCCACTAAAAGGGGTCACCCCCCTATTAATCAACCACGGGTTTATCAATCCGGGGTTAACATTAGCGCTCAGTCAGACAGTCTGGCAAACAGCACATGGTGTGTGTCTGTGTGTTGGTCCAGTTCAAAGTCATACCCAAGTGGATTTGTTTCAATCATGTCTTCATTGTGAGCCCCCATGGCCCACGGCCACACATGGGGATGTGTCCAAAGTCACAACCATTTTGGGGCTGTATTTTTATGGGGGAAGCTTGGTGTTCACAGGAAGCCCATAGGAAACCAGCGCGGGTCCTCCTAACTTCAAACTTTCTCAGTTGTTTTTTCCCGAAAGCATCGCGAAGGGTTCTTCCGTGCGGAGCCCTTGGACAAGTTACACAGAGCCAAGTTGCACAGAGCCGAGTTGCACAGAGCCAAGTTACATAGAGCCAAGTTACATAGAGCCAAGTTACATAGAGCCAAGTTACATAGAGCCGAGTTACATAGAGCCAAGTTACATAGAGCCAAGTTACATAGAGCCAAGTTACATAGAGCCAAGTTAGAGCCAAGTTACATAGAGCCAAGTTACATAGAGCCAAGTTACATAGAGCCAAGTTACATAGAGCCAAGTTACATAGAGCCAAGTTACATAGAGCCAAGTTACATAGAGCCAAGTTACATAGAGCCAAGAGCCAAGTTACATAGAGCCAAGTTACATAGAGCCAAGTTACATAGAGCCAAGTTACATAGAGCCAAGTTACATAGAGCCAAGTTACATAGAGCCAAGTTACATAGAGCCAAGTTACATAGAGCCAAGTTACATAGAGCCAAGTTACATAGAGCCAAGTTACATAGAGCCAAGTTACATAGAGCCAAGTTACATAGAGCCAAGTTACATAGAGCCAAGTTACATAGAGCCAAGTTACATAGAGCCAAGTTGCATAGAGCCAAGTGGCACAGAGCCAAGTGACACAGAGCCAGGTGGCACAGAGCCAAGGTTACGTAGAGCTTGCGTAGAGCTTCGGCGTTAGCAGCTATGTATGTTAGTTTAGGTTTCTAAGGCGCCGGGGCGGGAGTTTGATCGTCGCTCGGGATTGCGACCCTCTGCGGAGATTCGCGTGGTCGAGGTAAAAAAACTGAGGCCGTTTTACGATTTCTGCGGTGCGCGCGCGACCCTCTGCGGAGATTCGCGTGGTCGAGGTTAAAAAACTGAGACTTTTTACGATTTTTAACATGCGCGCGCGACCCTCTGCGGAGATGCGCGTGGTCGAGGTTCAAAAACTGAGTCTGAGGACTTTTTACGATTTCTGCAAGCTGCGCGCGACCCTCTGCGGAGATTCGCGTGGTCGAGGTTCAAAAACTGAGGACTTTTTACGATTTCTGCAAGCCGCGCGCGACCCTCTGCGGAGATTCGCGTGGTCGAGGTTCAAAAACTGAGGACTTTTTACGATTTCTGCAAGCCGCGCGCGACCCTCTGCGGAAATCGTGCGCGTCGAAGCGCTCTCGCTGTGGCGCCGTGCAATTTTCTTGCTCGCGAAACGGCCTTTGGAAGTTGTCTCGTGACTTGCGCGCCTGCTTTCGCAACCCCGCGGTCGCGGGTTCGATTCCCCCTCGGTCCGCGGCAGCTCCGGCTTGAAAATCGCAGCTTGTAAGTACAAACGTAGTACGCGGAGCATGCTCCTGAGCGTGCTCCTGCAGCTCCGGCTGGAAAATTGCAACTTTTAAGTACAGACGTAGTATGCGGAGCGTGGTCCCGAAGCTCAGGCTGGAAAATCGCAGCTTTTGAGTACAAACGTAGTACGCGGAGCACACCCCCACAGCTCCGGCTTGAAAATCGCAACTTTTAAGTAAGAACGTAGTACGCGGAGCACACCCCCGCAGCTCCGGCTGGAAAATCGCAACTTTTAAGTACAAAAATAGTACGCAAAGTACATTCCCACAGCTCCGGCAGCACTTGCGCAGAGCAACTTGCGCAGAGTCACTTGCGCAGAGCAACTTGCGCAGAGCAACTTGCACAGAGCAATTGCACAAAGCACTTGCGCAGAGCAACTTGCACAGACCAACTTGCACAGAGCACATGCGCAAAGCGCTTGCACGGAGCAACTGGCGCAGAGCACTTGCGCAGAGCAACTTGCACTTCACTTGCACAGAGCACATGCGCAAAGCGCTTGCACGGAGCAACTGGCGCAGAGCAACTTGCACAGACCAACTTGCTCAGAGCACTTGCGCAGAGCAACTTGCACAGAGCACTTGCGTGCAGCAGCTTGCAGAGAGCAACTTGCGCGCAGCAGCCCGGAACAATGCAGCTTGCGCAGACCACTTTCGTGAGAAATCGCGCGGCACAGTTCGAGAGGAAAGTAGGATGATGAGATGGAGCTCTCATGTGACCATACACACTGAGGGATGAGCACCTGTGGAAAAATGCTTTCGGGCCAATCGTCCTCTAGTTGAGGAATGACACCGCCTTGCAAGGCATGCCCCCTTGCTGCG